TTAAACAATCATGGAGAAAATTAATTGTTTTAATACCTGAACGTTCTCGTAACTTCCTTTACGTAACGCGAGGTGGCCCATAAGCCTCAAGTATAACTTTCACCTAAACCGCTATTGGTAATAATCGGTGGAATCTCGTAATAACCGTCATAACTCGCAATAAACCGCTGCCGAGGCATCTGCGAGAGCGAGAGTGTCTGGAGAATGATTTCGTGTTAGCACGCGACGTTTGCTGAGGTCGACGATATGCAAGATCACTTTCTGATCTCTACGCACAAATCTAATGCGTTGAACCGTATTTGATTGTCGTTGTGTTAATAAAAAAAGAAATACCAACCTTATATCCAGACTAATTCTAGTGCGAATTCAATTTTTTGAGTGAAAACATTCAGTATGTAATTTGCTAATAATGTAGCCTTAATTTTGGTGTATTTCATTTTATGATAGTGCATTATGTAGTTCGTCAAACATACATACAAGTATACTGCGTGAGCGGCGAACCGTTAAACAATTCGTTTTATTTGTGCCAAATTACACTTAATTGATTACGAGATCGTCCCACATTTTACAGTTTACGTGAGTCATGCTGACCCCGTGATAATAAGTTATTATCCTAGTTTCTTTCAGTTTACCAGTTTCTCTTTCAAAGGATTTAGATTTTACGCTTATATATTTTTTGCTGTTTGGGAAAAAAGATTCTCTGGACTTGTTACTTCGTTTTTTTTAAATGGTTTAAGGGTGACAAACGAGCACACAGTCCACCTGATGGTAAGTGGTTGCTGCGGCCCATAGACATCTACATCAATCCTCGATCACGAATCAAAATGCGGATGCGTTGTCACGCGTGATGACTAAGATGGAATGCCTCTTTTCCAGTAAAAAGGGTCTCCGGTTCTCTACACTCACCATACGAAACAGCAGCATTATGCTACTATTTTACGCTGGTATTCTGTGAGAGCGTGGTCCTTCCTCGGTCGAGCTGACCCATTCTACTGAAAACGAGGCATTCCATCTTAGTCCTCACGGGTGACAACAGATCTGCATTTAGATTCGTAATCGGGGATAGATATACATGTCTATGGGCCACAGCAACCACTTACCATCAGGTGGACTGTGTGCTCGTTTGTCACCCTATCCTATAAAAAAAACCTATATGGTTGCGTGATTTAAGTCAAAAATATTTTTTTATAAAATAATTATGTTCTAGTTTTTCTTTATGTAGGAAAAAGTGCTACGAACAACTCCGACCATGTTTACCCAAAAATGATGGGATTAGTTAGAAAATTGTGGCTTTTTACGATATGCTTGCTAAGTTGGAAATTCTTTTTAGGATTCCGTGGTTATATGTCGTGTACATGTTATGTGGCAACAAGAAACCCTTACAGTTTCTTCATGTCCGTCCGTTCGTCCGTACGCGGTTTTACTCAGAGACCCTATAGGTCTTAGGTGCTACAAATCTGGAATTTTGCGTAGTTGTGAATATTAATCACGTCTACCAAACTGAGTAGTAAAATTTTAAAAAACATTTTTATTGAATAAAACTATTATTTACGGATTTTATCGCGTTTAATTACTTTAATTTATTTTTATTATTATCCCGACGTTTCGGGATAATAATAAAAATAAATAATTACATAAAATATAAAACATTTTTATTTTGGGTGCCTTAGTAGGTAAATGGAGGATGATTTTTTACACGTCTATTTCATCGTGTGGGGTTTCGTTGGATAGGTCGATCTTTCAAAATAGATCTTTCAAAAAAACTGGGGATGTGGAAGAACATCTTTTCGATTCAGGGGTACATTTGCGAAATATTTAGCTTTAAAGTGGTATCTTTCATAAGAATCATCGTGCCCCTCCTTCTACGAATTAAACCGGTTTCTGGAAATATGAAAAGTATGCACAATAGTAATATATGTAATGAAGTGAGAAGGAAAACTACCACAGGTAAGTAGAATTAATAAATTAATGAGTAATATATGACCAACTTATAAAATGCACTTGGATTAGCAAAAATTCATAACAACTCCATAGAAATGACATAAAACTAGCTGCATTATAACTTTATAATGTTATAGTAAATTGTAAGAAATAAACATTTTATGAAGAAAGCGACATATGCATTACTACTATAGCTTTAATTTTTCCGGGATAGGCAGAGAGGATCTTACTTACTAACTACTTCCGCTTGTTTTTAGTATGTAGTTATTGTAGGCCTCATTCAAATACAATCATATAGCCGCGGGCGACCATCAGGATAACTTAGGGCAGTGGTGGTTTACGGGAAGGGTCGTTACGGTCTTATATATCTTATGCACTGGCGGGAATATATAAATAGATAGTCAACTAAGACCATCTTCGTACGAACTTGGCATGTGAGTGATTTGATATAAATTGTATTATTTTCAAAATTGAAAAGTTAGTCGTTATAGCCGTCAAACCGCGAACTCTCTTAGTACCTATTGTATCAGGCAACTACGAAACCCTACCTCTACTATTATACGTGGCCCGTCACACACTTGGCCAGTTTTTTCTTAAAGGTCCCACATAAACATGATGATTCTCACTGAACACTTGCCATTAAATTTATAATGGCATAAGCACTTAAGCATTTTAATTTTAAGAACGAAAGATTTTCTGCACAGCAGCACCAACCGTACTTGCTTCACCTACGTGTTGGACACGTCCAACACGCACTTGAATATGTGGATTACATTTTTTTTAAATTTAACACTTTTTTGTATGTTGCTTATATTCGTACAGTAATTGTAACTTAGCGAACCACATATGACAGTAACTTTAACAACACATGTCATTAACTTTAAAAGTGATTTCAAAATTTTATGTCTTAACTGGAAAGGAAAGTTTTAATACCTTTTAATCCAGATCCAAACGCGATGGCGACAAAATGATTTCTCTTAAATCGTAATTCCGTATTACAAAACCTGAGAAGTGAGTCGCCTATCGAAATGGAAACGATGCGTTAAAAGAGTCGAGTATTATTAATTCACGGCGTGATGTCAGATCCGCAACGGACTTTCGATAAGTTTCTCGCGATGAAAGTTCCATCACTTAGCTCATGTGCAATTATGAATATGCTAAATGAACACGTATAGTTTGGACGCGTTATAGGTGTATATTATAAGTGTATATTTGTGTTGTAGACATTTATCGAGAGAGAGGCTCGTGAGTCATCGGGCTTTCACCCGACCCTATGGACGAAATGGAGTGCTTTTCGTACTATACCGAGGGGTTAACGGGGACGTGACGTGATGAATATGATTAGTTTTTGAATAATGTGTTTACTGTTAATTTTTTTCCGCCAATCTTTTACCGTAGGGCATTATGTTATAAGGATCTTTTACAATTTTTATGGAATTAAAGTATTTTTTAATAATTGCATGCTGTTTAGGTAGTAACAGAAATCAATTAAAATTTATTTAAAAAAAATGTAGGTTTGTACGAGATTATCTAAAAACAAACTTTCAGTGTGACTTTGTCCGCGTAGAACTTAAAACAATTGTCAATAGTTCAGTTATAGAAAAGTCACTATAAACTCATTCTTTTGCTATTATCTCGAAAACCATGTGCCATATGGGATAATGCTAAAACAATGTAGCTTCCTTTTAATTAGTTTTATTTTGTAAAAATGTGTTAAAGTAAAAAAATGCTTAAAATCGATTTTATATCAAAACTATTACAGATGAAGATTTAAGATTGAGACCTTTTTGTATGAAATTGCTTATTACTTATTTCTTTTACAGTTCATAAGATAATCATTAAAGACCATTTATCTAGTAAATTTTTATGATTTCACAAAGAGTCTTGCATGATTTTCTTACAAAATCGCGAATTTTATCATTTTAACTTTCTCTTCTTAACTATAGTTAATTTCCGCTAGGTACGTGATTCTATTGTTCGGACGATTTGCACATATTCACCACGCTGGGCAGAATTAATACATGGTTAAATTTGGACTCAGCGTTTGGATAGATTTTTCTATTTTTTTTTAGATTTAGTAGTAAATTAATACTAGTTAATTTTGTCCGTGATTTAATAGAGTGCCCCGTGTACAGATGAAAATTTAAAGAAACACTAAAATTGTTACTCGGTCTTTTACACTACTTTTATTGATACAATAATCAATGTCGCTTCGTACCCGTTACGTAGAATATGTAGCGGCTTCTACACCAATTTTGTCACGTAATCTATAAACTAAAACATGCGAGTGTTTTTAGTTTGGACGAGATATACAAACCAAATGCGTATGTTTTGCAACGTCGCATAGATATCTCATTAAATGGTAAGAAAGTGGCATTTCTGGACGCTTTTAAATTCCGAATACATTATTATGTTAGTGTTTTTTTAACTGTTAATAACATACCGCTTTATTATTTCAGGTAAGCTCCATACAGTTCATAATAGAACGTCGACATTACAATATGCTGCAAACATCGGGTAAGCAAGCTTTATAGAAAGTGTTTAGTGTTACACAACAATGTTCAATGTCACATTAAAATTCATTGTTCATATACAATACCATCCATTACAAGTTTTAAGAGAATCTCAAAGCAACTCTGTGTCATTACGTAATATTTGCATAATGCGCATTTCCTTATCGTAAATTTAAGAAATAAAAAAGTTTTCAAGCGAGACGAACGTCTCAAACGACGTAGCGTTTTGTTTTGTTTTTTAAAGCGGCAGAAAGGTAAACAACGGTTTAATTGTTAAGCGATTAGGGCGGTAAAGCTTTGCGGTGCATCGACGCTGACGATAGTCGCGTGGAACGGCGTGGCACTCCCACTCGGCGATCGCGGCCGCGACCCGCACTCATTCACTTCAGTTCAGTCCTCTGCCGACTGTTGCGGCGAACGTACGCGTATAGTCTCACGAGCCTCCGATGTTAGTGTACGATTACGAAATCGCAACGCGACTCGGATTTTTACTGTGACAGTGAATCGAACCATTTCGAATATGGGTTAAACGTCTCGCACAACGATATGAGTCCGGGCGAGCGCGCCGCCCTCGGGCGCCGCGAACCCGCTCGCCCTCAATACGCGTCTACGGCACCGGGATTCCCACCACCGTACTACCCGCCCTATGGCATGCCCCATCCGAACGCGTGGCTAGGTGCACCCCTTATATCCATGGCGGGGCGGACGCCGCCGGCACGCAATACTCCGGTATCCAAGTTGGCGATGCACGCTCAAGGCGCCCCACTCATCATACAGAACAGACACGATAGAAGAAAATTTACAACAGTGCCAGAACAGCGTAATCACCGCCCATCTGGACATGTGGAGCATGTCACAAGAAACAGATGCGAAGCTTTAGAGGGAAACAGGCCGCACAACCAGCAACAACAAATGCGTTCCACTCGTAGCGGACGCAACAACAACACGGATGCGGTCAGTGTTGCTAGCGACGAAAGTTCCGGCTCCACGAATTCTGAAACGATGCTGCCTAGAATAATAAAACCACGTAAGAGACGTAAAAAAGACAGAAAACCTAATAACATTGTGCCGCACGATATGAATACTACCGTGTTAGAAATTAGCGATGTTGGACATTGTACGGTGAGCAGTATGTCTCCAGTTTCCCATGGCATGTACGAAGATTCTTACTGTCGCGATGTTTCTATACCATATCGTTTGGATGTGAAGGTGTTACAATATTCTGAGCCTGCTCCAGAGACATATCGTGTTGCAGCTCTAGGAGAAGCTTTAGAAGCTACTCGTTTCGGTTTAGCAAAAGCAGCTTCACCTTCGGAATCTGCTGTTAGTTCGTGCCAGTGTCGTTATTGCGATCCCGTGGGTCAAATCTGGGATGCTGATTCAATTGCGGACTTACTGGATGAGAATTCGAGTGGTGATTTTGCTCCTACTAAATTAGAGGATTCGATGAAAGTTGTCGGACCATTAGGCAGACGTGGGGATACTGTGCTACGGCGTAGTTGGAGCGATCCGTCTTCACGTGTTCCTGAAAGACGTGAGGGTATAAATGGGGATCCTTTGTCATCACCCAATCTATACTCACTGTTCCCACCATCGCGAAGAACCAGCTCACCTGAGTCTCGATCTCCGCTCGCGTTAGAAATATCCTCCGAAATTGTTACGTCAATGAACGGCCACCGCGATTTGGAAATCAAATTATTTTCGACCTCGCCCTCGGCCACGAATTCCGACCGCCGCTCCTTCTTCGACGATAAAAGTGAAAGTGCTGTGAACAGATGTACAATCGCGGAGTACGATCTTAAAGTTAACAGTGCAGTGAACAGTGACGGGGCTGTGCTCGGTGTTAACGATGGTAAAAAGAGTGACGAAGTGGAGTCGGGGTGTTCGACGGCGTTTGTGGCTACAGAACCCTCGCGTAATATTTGTGATTTAGCCTTAGTTACTGCCTGAGGCGTTTGTGATCGAGTTTAAATTTAAAGTTAGCTTGCGTCGACACTAAGTCAACGCTCGCCATTTGAGCTGGACTCAAAATGTCACAGCGAGGCATGCACGGAGCGTCTCATCGCGACATAATGAAATAGAGATCTCCGAATCGGTTTCCTGTAGATTCTATAATTAATTTATTATTAATAATAACTTAGGAAACTGACTTGGGGCTTTATCTGGATATATTTAAGGATTATTATGGTTTGCCGCCTAAACGTTTTTTCGACGACACTTTTTGTTAACCAAAAAACCTACTGCTTACTTGTCAATGTTCACTAAAGTTTTAATATTTAAAAGTAACTCAGTACACATTCAAACAATCAATGGACAACAAATACTCTTTTGTAATTTCGCAAACACAAGCGGTCGTCAGTTGTCCTGTCCTAACTCGCAGACTCGCAGTTCGCAGTTAGCAATTAGCGTTATACACTACTGACACGGTTCCGCGGCTGCGGTGGTGTTCGCTATTGCGGTCTGCCGCGCTTTCCACGGCGCACGTCGTTCCGGCTGGCGCCTTTTGCGCACCGGTTCTCAACACTAATAATGACTTTTATTTCATTCCAAGTAATTGTCGGTTCACTTTTCACTCATAAGCTTGCAAGGGCCTCGTATACGGTCACCATATTGCCACTTCAAACGCTCATCGCAGGCTAATGGACCAGTAGACTAGGTTGCAAGACACTCGTCCGCAATACGTAATGTCTTTTTCTCTACATCACTTAATTTATCGCTGAAGTACCTATCTTTACTTCATTGATTGGAGAATAAAAAATCTATGGTTACTGATTACATTAAGGCAATCGGTTACTACGTAATCAAAAAGTATTTTAATATACCGATTATGAATAAAATCATATATTTTATAAAAAATTGTTTGTTTTTCATAAAGTTAATTAATATTAAAATATATTTATTGCTGCCGATCTGTGCCGAAACGACCTAGCTAAGTAACCGACAGAAACTACTCCATCTTGGACTGATTACACCTATGAAAAATAGATGTAATCACCATCCCGTATTCCCCTGTGTTCACCTCGAAAATTGAACTGATTGCAATTGTTTACTTTCAAGAAAAATATAAGAAGTATGGCTTGTATAATATACGTTTTTTTCATGTTCGTAAAATTTGTTTGCCTGAATAAGTAATAACAGCGTTATAGCTCGATAGTTTTAGTAATTTTGGAAGGTTACTAGTTTTTAAAATTATTTATAAAAAGAAAACAGGAGCATCGCAGTGGTAGATATAGAAAAAATATTTCTTTTTCCCCTAGTGTCATCCTGAACGAAAACAGAGGGAATACGTTTGTATTGACTAAACGCTGCAAATATCTTCTTAACATCTTTACCCATGTTTGGTCCATTAAGTTATCTGTTTACCAGGACACAATGATAATTTATAATCCTTTGTAATTCATCCGAAATAAATACTCAAAGGACTTAAAACTGAGTAAAATGAGAAAGATATTTATTTCTTCTACTACTTGAAAAGCCAAGTAAGATTGTGATATTAGAAGTAAAAACTGCGCATTTAGAACGATGTTTGTAGCATCCATGTAAATTTTTAAGTGTAGTATGAACCCTGTATAAAACAATATGTATATGCTTGTGCGACTCACTGAATTTTCTTTGTGGTCCTAAATCGATCGTAATTATTAGAATACTGGTCGTCAAGCAGCCGTCCTAGAAAACTAATGAACGTTTTAATTGTTTCCTTGCCAGTAAAACGGGCCTATTAGTCCGATATTGTAGCCGGTATCGTTACATACAAGGTGAAATATTGATAAAGAGCCGCGATAAGTTTTCCTACGCTGGTTTTATCATTGTTTGTTTTAGATCGTAGGTCATTCACTTCTACACAACGACGGTTCTGAAACTCTGAATTCTAAATCTATGAACAATAATTTTTACAGATTAAGCAAAATTACACATGAACTTTCAGATACGGCCAAGGAAACTTTGTGTAATTCATTTGCTTTTTAGCCTTATAGTATATAAATTAAATTGTTTCTATGACAGTAGCTACAAAAAGGTTACGTATTTTGTTTACGTCCGGACAAAACGTTTAAGTTAATATAATTTTCGTTACATGCGGCAAATCAACAATTTCCACTTTCGTTGTGTTTTCTATTTTTATTCTTTCTTCAAGCAAGGGTCCAACTATATGAGGGATGCCAGATAAAGCTCCACAATGTAGATAATGTGAATATAACTATAATATTCATGGACTGTACATTCGTACGCCGTTGCTATCGTTGGGTTTTACACTCCATGGGCGGTTTAGTTCTACCTTTTGTTGTTTTTATTTTTTGTGTTATGTTTGCTTATAATGCTCGGCGCGTGCGTGGGACGTCATGATAAATTCATCTTGCTTTATTTTTTCTTAACGCTAGGCTCGACGTAGACGAGAAGTTATTACGACCTCTTATCTTCTTAAACCTTCTAACTAAATCGTATGAGACAGTACCGGTCGTCAACAAACGTTTCCTATCGCGTTTTATACAACCGACCGAAACCGACCAAAAAGTATATAGAAAGGTTTTTTATTACTTCGATAATCTTCAAATTCGGCCGCTTTGAAGTTATGTACTCAGTTTGAAATGTTTCTTATTATCCGAATTGGTCGCTTGGGAATATTTAGTGGTAAGAGATGTAAATTGAATCTTAAATCGATAAGGGCCTTGTAAGCGTCGAGCCTTTAGCTGTGTTGGGACTGTGTTAGGGCGTGGCGCCATCCACATTTGTAAAGCCCAACGGTACATTTCACCATTGTTGTAAAAAATAGGCTATGTATAACTTACAGAGTGAATGCATTTTATATATAAAAATAAATAGGTTTAATATTTTTGTTTGTGTACGCCGCTGAGGCACGAGTTACACGCTTGCGCACTATTTTTGTATAATAAATACCATCCAGTCCCGATTATTTTGTTGTTTTATTTAATTTTCTCTTAATAGAACAGTATTTAAAAGAGATACAATATTAATTATCTATGGCATAAAAATATTTACCACTCTTGTCGTTTAACTAACCATAAAGCTACATCGGTAGAAATTACGAGAACATATGTATATTGTAAACGTACATTGTACCAGCCATTTACGTAACTCGTAAATCGTAAACAAGAACATCTATTGTCGGCGAACAGCTGTTGGTTTGTTACACGCACTATTGTAAGCTGTTTGTTTACAAAAGGAACGTGTGGCCGATTGTGTACACCAGACACTAAAGCGCCGCGGGTTCGAGCCAGTTTACGTTATGACATTGAATATGTTTGATCATCTTTTCATATTTGTAATAATTTGCGAATTAAAAAGACAACTGTATTTAGTTTCACTTGCGATTTTGCCACCAAGCCATTTCTTTTCCTACTTCAGTTCACCGTTTTGTCTTGCCTAGTTTTGAGTTGAAGTCTTCCATTAATACCATATAGTGGATTTTGGAGGAATGCATGAATTTAGAGTCATCCTTATGCATTTCCTCCACCTCGTCACCGGGATGTGCTGAGATTGGTGCGTAAACCTGTATGACCTTCAACTAATACCTCGTCGACACACTCACAATCTTTACTTTATAACTTTGTTAACGAAAGACTTGTGGACGATAAATTTGACAACTCCTTGGGACAAATGTTCACCCTCCTGGTGATAAAACAAGTTGCCGGATTCGACGAATATCGCATCCTCCCCTTCTTCGGACCTCAGATAATTCTTTCATGTTCCAACGCAACTTGTCTATCTCTTCTTCAAGCTCCAAGATCTTCTCGTCAGTCCTCAGTGTTTGTGCGTTAAATGTTGCCAGATCGAGTCAACTTAGGTGCAAACCAAACCTCCACCGGAGATTCTTAGCAACCCCTGCCCGGCCGTTACCATGGTCGATGGCGATATAACCATCTCAAAATTTAATCAGAGCTTTAGTAACCACACCGATGGCGAAGAGCAGCAAATACGTAGGCCTGGTGCTGTAAAAATAATCCGCTAATCATAATTACGCTACTCTTCCCGCGTCAGGTCAGTAGTGTATTATTACAGGATTTGTAAGGCCAAAATTCTCAACTTTTCATCTAAAACCTATATGAACTAAAAAAGTTACTTCGTTGATTTTCAGACTTTGAAACGGTACGGCAATTATTAAAATAGGACGAAGTAAAACATGTTCCAGTGCACTAGTACACTGGTTTGACGTCAACAATTTGCTTTTGGACGGTAATAAAACTAAATGTACTAAATTTACGATATCCAATGTTTAACACGTGAATAACAGCTGTTATTCTCAGAATTACATATGCATGTTAGCATATTGTGCTGTAAAAGATTAGAAGTCTTGTGTTGAAACAGCTAGAATTAGCTCATTTAGGTTTTTACGATAGCGTGATGTCGCATGAAACACTGCTGTGGGCCCGACATGACTGACATATAAGAGCAAGTATGATCTTAGTCCGACGGAATCTTTTAGGGGAAAATTTAAAAACAAAATTAATTTTGGCTTCAGTATATTTACGAAAATTTAATTCATGTACATGTTATACATAAAAACAGTTTTATTGGTGATTTCTGGATCTCGACAACAGCACCACCTAGCGGGTCCAAATATGAATAAATACCATCCAGGGACGCACTCAAACGCACACAAGAAAATATGAAAATCGTTTGAGCTGTTTTCGAGTTTTAACTAGACTAACGGACAGTAATTGATTTTTATATGTACATAGAGATAAAAACAGTGCTGTCCATATTATTATGTAAATATTACGAATAAGCCCAAGTTATAGTAATGTCAGTTACTTCTTCCTTCAAGCCCAGGAAGTTTCCTGGAAATATTTTCGACTTCTCAGGTTTTCTCAGGATATTTTTATAAAATTATACCTAGTTAACAATTCAAGTGGTGCCGGCAGGGATCTAAATCGGGTTGCTCATATTCTATGAAATATAAAACGAGCGCCTAGTTTTAATCTACTCTCGACTAC